GACATTTTTGCTACTATTACAAACAAATTTGTATCACCAATCCTTATAAACCAAAATTCATTAGCTATGACCTTGTAAAGATACTACATTTCTTCCTAATATTTATCATATTTCTTCAGTTTTCCAAAACCAGTTGCACAATCATATTTATGTTTACATTTCCCAATTGGCGATAACATTCTAGCAACTAGAAAGTCCCTTTAAAAGATTTTGAAATAATGATAGACAAACGGTTATTATCTACAGGTTACTTAAATTACAAGTTATTTATTATATCTAATTGTGATGCAGAGTACAGTAATACGTCAAATTATTTTTATGCGATGCAATAAAACTATTCGTCTTTGTATTATGAACGAATGAAAATATTAAGAAATGCAGTCAAAAAATCAAATCTTTATCAAGTCATAAAAAATGAACAACTCAATAAAAATTCAAACGCTAACATGATTTTTTTGTCAACAAATTTATGTAAATAAAAAAATTAGTTGCCATTTGAAAAAACCAAAAATCCCACTTTTGGCTTATAAGAATTGGTGATAAAAATATTCAAAATATTGAAAAATGTAGTAAAATATGTACCTAAAAGTTCAGAAAAAAAAAATTGTCAAAATATTCATATTTTTTGAGAAAATGGGTCTTACGTTAGTTGGATCAACCTATATTCATGGTTAGGGCCAATTAAAATTACGACCTTTGCAAATATTTCTAACTCTTAAATATTAGGCTTAGCCTAGTTTTTAAATGCGTTGTTATTTATTTTATAACGTTGTCCGCTTTGATATTTATATGTTCACTATTAAACTAAACCAACAATAACTATCGAGACTTCGAAGGTAGTTTTAGCTTACATCGTTTACACAGTTGTACCAATTGTCTTATAAAAAAAAATGTCTAAAAGTTAATTATACTATTTAGAACGGGATAGTTATTATAAGTAAAAAAAAAAAGGTTTAAACTATAAAATTCTTTTTTTTTATTGAAATAATCTCACAGGAACTTTTCTGGAACAAATAGGTTTTAATTGTTCTGCATTTATTTTAGTCAGGTAGTAATGTCTGATTTTTGGCTGGTCAACTTAAATAGGAATTAAAAAATCAAAGCATAATCAAATTAATATAATATGTAGTAGGTATAATAGTATGACGTATAAATACATTATGTTATGAGCTATGACATCAATGAAATATTTTAATCAAGAAAATTATTTATAATGTTAAGTGTATGCACATTTAAACGAAAACACTATTGCATGAAATTTATTACATAACAAAAAATGTGAAAACTTGGTCTTAAACAATTTATGCATAATACATATTTTAAAACAAAAATAATTCGTGTAACGCATAAAAGATAATTATAATTTTTAACAAGCAACAAAAAAATGTAAGATATAAATAAAAAAGTCATAATCACAATAATATGTGTTATTTCATAATGAAAATATGTTTTTTTTTTTAAATTGAGTTAAGAGGAATTACAGATCAGAATTAAAAAGTATGAAATTATAGCACAATGACAAACTAATTATACAAGACTTATAGTAATTACTCACATCTGACATATTTTATACTATAGAACAGCTATCTAAAAAAATAATAACGTATCAATTAGATTTCAATGCTTTTAGCTACGTTTTTACTTAAATTTTTTTTGTAATGATAAAAAAAAATATTTTTTATAATAAACTATGATTAAATTTGATAAAAGTAAAACGATTTTAGTATACTCACAATCATCACAAGCTGAAATTAAAACAAATGTTTTTTAAACGATTTTTAACTATAAATAAATAAATATGATAAAAATAAAATTAATTTAATGTACTCACACTTGCAACCTGAAATTAAAAGAAATGTTTTTTTAATAATATTTTTGAATAATAAAGGATTAAATTTAATCAAAGTAAAATAAGTTGAGTGTACTCACAGTCACATCCTAAAATTAAATTAAAACTTTTTTTAAAATATGTTTTAATAATAAATAATTCAATTTTATAAAGTATAATAATTTTAGTACACTCACCACATACTGAAATGAAAACAAATAATGTTTTTAAAATAAATAATTAAATTAAGTAATAGTAAAATAATTAAATTATAATTAAAATTATTATTTACTTGTCAACGTAAACGTACTATAAACGTAAAGTTATTTTATCCCAAAATAAGTTAATATTGTACATTAAATTATAAATTGATTAGAGACTAAAGACCATGAAGAAAGGATGACATGACTTTATTTATGTCCAACGCTAGTGCAGAAATTTTATTTTTTAAGGGATTACCTTAAGTCATTCGAGCATGTCTGCTTTTGAGATGTGTTTTCGTTAATATGAGGGTAATCATTTAATGAGCGCTTGTATTGTACATTCGAGTTATTATTATTATTTAATTATCTACAGAAAGGTATACATACCGACCGGATATCCTAGTGGTGGTTCTAGAAAATAATAAATTTAAAACAATCGAGGGATTTCATTCTGGATACAGTAATGTATATTAATTATATAATTTTGTCAAAAATTCAAAATTATGATTTATTTGTAGTAGTATGAAAGTGGTGAGAAGCTGGGAAAAGAGGGGTACTTTGATGTGTTGAAGTGCCTTTATATGATAAAGTGACTCTAATGATGTAAGGGGGTAAATGGTGTGTATATGTGTATTGCTTATATTATATTTATTAAATATTTAAGTTTGTAAACAAATTAGGCATTTTTGAGAGTTTTGAAATGATAAATTTAATAATATTTTTAAGAGTTTTATGTCTGGTTTACAAAGAGAAGTTTTGTCACCCCTGTTAAGTGTTCTACAGAAAAATCGGTCGGGGCTCAATCACCCGTGTGTTGCCGTGTTAATCTCGGTTAGATTATTTAATGACCTGGTTGGCGTCTCTGTAATTCTGTCACGACAGTATAAAAAGGTACCTTCTAATTGACTTGAGTTGTTTCGTTCATAATTACTATATGTATTTTTAGATTCCATTTAAAACGTTTTATCGGATATTAGTTATATTTTAGTGTAGTGTGTATACTCTAATAGTTGTAATATTTTTAAAAATGGTTTTTGAATTGTAGAATAAAAAAATAAAACTTCTAGTTATATCAGTTGACAGAATTGTATGACAATATTTGATTATTTCTTTAACTTTAATGTCAGTATTTTTAAGAGTTCGTATGTTTATTTAATATATAATTTACTTAATGTTTTATATTTATACTTCTTGTAATTTTACCAAGTTTTTGTAGTTGTGAAAAAATTGGGCAGCGGTTTTTTTCAGGCGAAGCCAAAAATTATTGTGATTTGTGGAATAAAAGCTTTTTACGTTGGGGGCCATTTTGTAATAGAAGAAAAGCAAGCGGGAAGTGGCGGTGAATGGCTATTTTAAATATTTATATGTAGGTCTCTCAATCGGGGTGTGCATGTGTGTACATTTACTACAAGAGCTCACTTCCTGCCTCTAGACTTACTATTACATAGCGTTATAATATTGTATATAGTACATACCTTGTCGTGGAGTTACTCGAAGCTCTATGACCTTGGCGATATCCCTTAGC